TCATAGGAGCTCAAACAGCATGCTAATTAATAAATTATAATTATAACATGAGTATAAACCTATTAGAAACCGCTTATATACTCCATAGATACATAATTATGTAGGTACATTATAATGAGAATGCATACCTGTTGAAGCTTTGAGAGCCGAACAACATCTTCCGGCCTCATCTGTTCTACAAATGGCAATGTTAAGGTGAGGCTTAGTCCATGTTTACATAACACATTACTTCCTGATAGTGAACACTGTGAGGTGGTATGTCAGGTTGTGGTTTTATAGTTTCGACTCTTGTACGGTCTCTCAGTCAGTATGGAACATGATCTTCATCATGGGAAGTAAGCTAAAATAAGTAATATTATTAGAATATGATCTTGACTTTAGATTACACTGTATATAGATAATAGTATGGTTAAATTATGCTTTATTACCTCTTGTGGCTGAATCCAATCAAATACTATATGAGCCAGTCTTTACTCCTGTTTGTTGGCACCTTCAATTAAAACCCTGCGTTACCTTATCATTGCAATGAATCACCCATATACGACACAAACATGCCAGTGACCAATTTGTTTGCTGGACATACATTCAGCAACATCCCGATACATTGCTAATTGCCAGCAAGCATTGCAATTATGGTCTGTAGGAGAGATCTAGAATAAAAAGAATAAAATGATACATTATGCAAGAAGGTGCATAGTGTTATCTACATAACACTATGCACCTTCTTTTATTCAGGCAACATGGTGACTTTCGATATGTTATGGGTAAACTAGGTACTTACATCTCTAGGATAAGTCCACAATGGGATATTGTTGACCACGTCTAATCTTCACTCTCATTTCCTAGAGCATACCGTCTCATGTGCGACAAACTCTGATGCAATTAATGCACCGTAAATTCATCATCGCGACAAATTACAACACACTATGCACAAAATAATGTAAATAAGTGTCTTTTCGCAATTGTCACAACAATGATGCCAATAACACCAATTTGGGCTACGGAGGAACGGTTGCCAAACTCAACGTATCACCAGATGAATAAAATAACTTCAAAGTCAACAAACACATCATAACATCACATTTGAAACAAACAGCAAAGCAATGCGCCAGTATTGACATTTGACAAATTAATTGTCAATGTCATCAAGACAAATGCCAGTTCAACATTCCCATATTCAAGTTTGTTAAAATGTTAATATTATCATTAATAATCCATGTAGACGTAGATTTAGATTGGATGTAGATTTTTATAGGCATGAATTTAATGCGGCAACTAAGTAAACTGAATATAGGTTTTAAAAAATAATGGAGTGGGTACCATATATAATGGGTTGGCAGCTAATAAGGAGTATCGTAATAATTAGCATATTAATATATCAGAAATAAGCTCCGTTTTAAACTAGCATCAAGTTTTTCTTTTGGGAACTGAATTAATATCTAAGCGGAAACTTAATGGCGAAAATAAAATAGAAAATGGGCATTCATAAATAATATAAATCAGATTCTATTTAAAATTGTTTGTATGAAGAATAAATATAAACTGGCTTATACTATACATATATTGTGTGACTTTTAATAGCTTTAAATAAACTCTAAAATGGCATGAAGAAAAAATATTTTGTGGTAATAAAATTATAGGTGAATAAATTAAAAACATAAAAAGAGTAATTACTTTTATTTATTTTTAAAAAATCTTAGAAAACTGTAGTTATACCTAAGTATTAAAGTTACACAGTAAAAAGTTACGCAGTTACACACAATTAAAAAAAAAACAATAGTATTATTGTATTATTAGGGCAGGTTTAGATTTGGCAGGACGCCCTCGCTTTCTTTTTTGACCAATTGGAATCAAGGCCTATTATATGTTTACACACATATATTTTAAAAAATTGAGGGCAATTGCACATGCCTTTCTTCCAATCTGTTCTTGGCAGTACAACTTTCCAGAACGCAAAGTTTTTTTCTTTGTACTCATCAAATGTATGCCATGTTTCGTTATATGTCATATCCGTAGCCCTAGCTTTCTCACTAGGTACTAAATAAACATTGTTTGTACAATCCGATGCTAAAGTCTTTACTTTAATGTTCTGCTTTGCTCAACAATATCCTTCTGTCCATTCTTTGAGTTCAATGTTGTGTGTCTCTGGGAATAAGTCTTCAGAGATTTGATTTGACCATTGGGTGACCATATCACTCGCCACAACAAGGAAACGTGAAAGGGGAAAACGTTCCCGCATAGTATTATGATCTTTGATAGTCTTGTTAAATGCTTCTAAAGCGTTGTTTGTGGTCGGTGAAAGGGTTGCTGCAGCCCCAAAGTACCAGTTAGGGTTTTTGACTAGCCACTCCCTTTTAAAGTATTGTATGAATGCTGTCTTAGTAGCATGTTTGGCAACAAAAGCATGGGCAGCAGCATTGAAAACATCAACTGATGATGCATTATGCAAAGCGTCTATATCTTGCAAAATATCTTTTCTGTATCTTTTTTCTACAAACTTTTCAACAGATTTTTGCATATTTTTTTTAGCATGCGCCCAACACATACGCACAGTAGTATCAGAACCAAAAATATGGATAAAAGCATTTTTTATTGCTTGAGCTGCGTCACACACTAATACTTTTGGTTGCAAATCATGATCAAACAGTGATTGAACTTTCTCCTTTAATCCACTAAAAATCATCTCAAAGTCTTCTTCTTGTTCATTAGTGGAAACTCCTAAGCAAAGGGGATAAAATTTTCTGTTTTTATTTGTAGTTCCAACAATGAAAACAGGAAAGCCTTGCCATATCAATTTGTAGGTTGCATCAGCGTGGAAAACGTCAGAAGAACATACAAACTTTAATAATTTTCTTGTTGTCAAAACAAATCTGAAGATCGGTTGGTCACTCTCTAATATCCAGTACTTCATAACAAATGGTTTATCCTCATCTTCAGGAATAGCTTCATGATCATGTATCCACTTTTCTAATTCACCTAAGTGAATAGTATGGTGTCCGAATTTCACGCGCCGCCTATCACTTAAATAATTATTTAGTTGAAGTTTTGTAGGCAACTTTATTCCATCAATTTTTTGAAAAGAAGCCAATATAGCTTTAGGCTTCAAATGTAAGTCAAAGAGTCTGTTGATTTCTGTTTTAGTATGAGCGTCGATGCCGTAGTCGCCTCGAGTGCCAATATTTTCGTGATTATGTTCAGCATCTGTATGATATGCAAGAACATTGTCGGTTCCACTCTCAAATAACAAATAAAGTTCTGCCGCACACTGTGGTCCCTTCTTCCGAACTTTATTACACCTGTAAAAACGTTTTTGCCCCTCTTCGGTCATTCGCGTAAATTTCCGAGACCAAGTATTTTTTGAATTCACGAAATCTTCCGCCTCTTTCAAGTTTGAAAATTTAGATTTAAAAACCAAAAGTTTGTTTCGTCCACGTTTGGGTTTCGTTGGTCCTTGATCCTCTGATTCTGCTCCACTTGAACAGTAATCCGGCACTCCTTCATCACAATTTATTTCACGACTTGGTCCAGCTAACTCTAACTGACTCATCTCCACATATAAATCACTAAATACTGGCCTTTCACTAAAATATTACGCAAAATAAACAAAGCTAAACATTAACGTGCACATTACCGGCGAATAATGAAAACTAACAATCTAGAAGTCGCGTCGGCCCGTCGCCCGCGCCGCTTGCTATTGGCCGTGCACGCACCCCGCCACCCGCACTACACCCGTATCCAACCATCGCACCTTCCGCCGTTTTCATGAAATTATGATCAAAAAATATTAATAATTAACTCTTATTCATTTTTATAGTACTTACTTTTTAATATTTACAGCTGCCCGCAAAGCGAAGCCTGAAAGTGGGTTTTTAGACGGCACGAAATAGTTGGTAATATATTATCTTTGCTACCCTACTAATATTATTAGTCGCCAAGTCATTATTTATAGATCCTCGCCTAATATTTTAATTGACTGGTATACTTTATTTGCTACCTAAACACAGCTGCTAGTTTTTAGTTTTTATAACACTAGGAATTTATGAAATAAAGAATATTTGCAGCGTGATTTATAGTTTAATTAGGAAACTTAAGTTTTACAATCGTTCACAAGATGAGTAACAAAGGGGACAAGAAGCGCCATCTAGAACTGTCAAAATACAGGAACTAATATGGTTGCGTTCCAATTCCAATACCCACCTCAGAACGCAATCCTATATTTAATACACAATAACAATGTTTATCTACAGTTCCTTTGGTCAATATATCTGAAATATTTTCCACACCCTTTACAAAACAAAACTTTAATTTTAAGTTACTAACATGTTCTTTGAGAAAATGGTATCTAATATCAATGTGTTTTGATCTAGGTAGATAACAATCATTTACAGTAAGTTTAATTGCACTTTGATTATCACTGTAGATAACTAAAGTCTGTTTACACTGTGCTTCAAGTTCTCCCTGCAGCTGCTGTAGCCATAGAGCTTCTTGAGCTGCTGAAGACATAGCCATATATTCGGCTTCCGCCGTAGACAGGGCCACTGTCTGTTGTTTTCGCGAACACCATGAGACAGCACGTCCCTGTAACATAAAAACATATCCCGTGCACGATTTTCGATCTAGGGCATCACTTGCCCAATCTGCATCACAGAAGCCCGTGATTTCACTCTAGCCGTACTTGGTATAAGTCAATTTATAATGTTTTGTGCCTTGTAGATATCTTAGCACACGTTTTGCTGCTGCCCAATGCTCAGATCTTGGTTCCTTATTGAATCTACTTAGTGTGTTTACCGCATATGCAATATCTGGCCTTGTGGCTTGAGCCACATAGAGTAAGCATCCAATCACATGCTGATATGGGCAGTCATAAGACTCTTTATCATTGTCATCGAACTTCAGTCCAACTTCTATAGGTGTTTGAACTGATTTACAGTCTGCCATGTTGAATCTTGACAATATTTCTTTTATGTATTTCTCCTGATCCAACATAAATATACCTTAACCTCTAGTTATGTTTAAGCCAATACACTGCTGTGCTTCGCCCATATCCTTCATATTTAATTTCTTACATAAATTGCTTTTTAGCTCTGCAGTTAACATTTGCAATGAACTAAATATCGAGGGGTGAAAGGCTAATTGTATGAAGCGACATTTTGGGCGATATTGAGTTATATACATATTCGGAATCAGCGAATTTTTCTGCGTCGACTGAGCCGGGTTTCGTTCAATTCTGAGCACTTTTATGGCGCTTAAAACAATGCAATTTTGATGCATAATTCTCCAACATGATGAATGATCCGACATCCAATTTGCCATATTTTTTCAGTATTTCGCTTAAGCTGTACACAAAAACAAAGAATAGGAGCATAAGCCGTTATTCTCGTCCTAAAATTTCAGTTCGGTGGCAGATCTATGTAATCTATGTAATTTAAAACAAATAAATGTTGGCATAGTTTTCGTAAACCGTGGCAGTATTATTACTGCCCCGCCCCGCGCGGGCGCATCAGTCAGTCGCGAGTGTAGTGGAAGACAGGACGCACGCTGTTGTAGTTTGGGATCAGACCGAATAAAATAAGCTTGTAAGTATGATTACTTTAATATTGTGTCTATAATTTAATAAAGTAATTATGTGTTAATGTAAATAAAAGATTGCGAATGTTTCTGTATTGTTTATCGCATGTATTGATACATTATTACCATTGTATGTACCTGCCAAGCTGCCTAAGGTACTAACTACCTGCCTACTTAATAGGTGAATAATGGTTACTGTTTAAATATACGCAGTTACTGAATTATTTGTAATGATGTATCAATCATCATCACTGATTAACGCCTAAAAGTATAAGTACCTAGTTATGTTATTTATTTTACTTTAAACTTTTAGCCCACAATGGAGCCAAAAAGATTAAAATATTTGAGAAGCAAGATTGAACGCATAAGTGAGGAAAATGAAAACAAAACAAAATCGTTACAGCCCAGTACGAAACGAAGATTTTCAGTAACACTCCTAGACAGCTCGTCTTATCATGACCAAAACAAAGATTTGCGTATTTTCAATACATTTGATGACAAATTTAACAGTGATCCGAAAACAATAACAAATTATGAAGAGGTATGTTCAGGTTCTTTATTTAAGTACTAACTGTCCCCCACGGTATCACCCGCATTTTCGGTTACTGCCCCGCTCCTATTGGTTGTACCGTGATGTTATATTCCTTTCGATGTCAAAGGCTATACTATATGCATGCAAAATTTCATCTAAATCCGTTCAGCCGTTTTTGCGTGATTAAGTAACAAATATCCACAGTTTCACCTTTATAATATTAGTTAGGATCAATTATGTTGACAAACATAACCACATTGATTATTTTTTTAGGAAAAGCAGAACAGCAAAAGCAGTGATTCGGGTGATAACAGCATTAATATTATAACAATCTAGTTTGAAAGAGTAATTATTTTTTTATTACTTAGTAGTAACTTTTGTCAGCTTAGAATTTCGAAGGTATCCTTAAATATTTCGAGAAATCGTTTTTAAACAGGCGCCTTAATTAACTAAGGAATGCCTGTGCTAAATTCAGTCAATAGTTCAACATCTTTTTAGATACTAGACTAAAACCAATAAAAATGTTCGGAATTTACTATAATAAAATCAGCTGTTCCATACAAAAGTGCAACACTTATGCGCTCAAAATATATGGAACAGCTAATTTTCTTTAACAACCAACAAAAAATGCTATCAATGGCCCGATTAAAATCATTAACTGAATGTTTGGTAGAAGATTGTGTCATGATTTTTCTTTTATTAGAAGTAATTATTATTTATTTTATCGCTGTCTGTATTTAATCTATAATAAAATAAAACACATACTCTTATTTACTAATGAAATTCGATTTGATGCTATGAAACAACTTCTTTTCAGTATGACGAAGAATCCCAAAAAAATGAAAAAGATAACGTAAAGTCAATGGATAAACCTACGAAAATATTAGAATTAGAAGAACACGAACAAAACACCAAAAATCCAAATAATGTTAATCAAGTAATCGCAAAACACATGGCCCAAGACACGGTAATTGAAATGAGTGATAAAATTCGAACAGACAGTAATGAAAGCCTTCAACCAACGTTAACAGAAATTATACCGGAAAAAGAAATGGATATATTAAGGAAATCCTTGGAGGAGGACAATAATGCTGAAGAAATTACAACGGAAATACCAAATCGAGCAGAAGACGTTCCTAAAAAAGTTAGAAAAAGCAAACGCACCGTGATTCAAAAAAGCTATTTAGATTTTATGAGTGAAGATGAAGACTTTGTCTGGGACTCGACTTCCTGGGAAGGGACGGACAAGTCCTCAAGTGATGACGATGATCAACCAAAGAAAAAAAAACTTAACGTAGAAGATGGGAAAGTAGGAGAGTCAGGTTTCAAGAAAAAAAAAGGAAAATAAGGCAAAGAAACGAAAAGATTCTAGATCAAAAGGTGAATGTTATGTTAAGAAAGATGGTTCTATTAGGAAGGAAAGGCAGTTAAAACCAAACCCATGCATAGGGAAAAACTGTCCCTAGAAGTGTGGTGAAATAGACGATGAAAAAAGGAGAGCAATATTTGATTTTTATTGGGGATTATCTAATCAGAGAAAAAAGGAGTGGTTAATTGCTATGTCCTCTAAAGAAGAAATAAAAAGAAAGAGATCTAAACTTTCCAGCTACAGGACCAATACATTTAAATATTTTATAAATGACGGAGAGGGTCGTCGTCAGGTTTGTTCTAAGTTCATGATCAGCACACTAGACGTTACCCAAAGATTTGTTTACTACACCTTGATAAATGTATCCCAGGGAATTTCAAAAGAAGATGGGAGAGGTAGGTGTGTTCCAGCCAACAAAACTCCAGACAATGTAAGGGAATCAGCAAAAAACTTCATTAAAAGCTTACCTGCACTACCGTCGCATTATTGCCGCAAGGATAGTACAAAGCTGTACCTCCCAACTGAATTCAAAAACATCAAAAATCTGTAAAGGACTCGATGTCTTGAGTGAAAAAATCTTTCGACTAATATTTAGTACTGATTTTAATATAGGGTTCCACGTGCCTAAGAAGGATAAGTGTATAAAATGTTTGCGTTTTGAAGGCCAAAAGCCATCTGAGTGTCCCGAACTGCATGCCCATTTAGAAGAAAAACAAGCATCAAAACAACGCCAGCAATTTCATAGAGAATTAGGCAAAGAAAACCCTACTATTTTGTGTGCATCTTTCGATCTCCAGAAGGTTCTCAATACTCCCCATGGGAACAGTATGCTGCTTTTTTACTCCCGAAAATATACGGTTTATAATTTATGCTTTTATGAAAGTATAACAAGAAATGGTTTCTGTTTTGTCTGGGGAGAAACAGAAGGAAAGAGAGGGGCCAATGAAATTGGTACAATCTTGCAAAAATACATAGAAGACGTTGATTCGCGAACCACAATAAAAACTTTAATTTTATATTCGGACTCGTGCCCTGGACAAAATAAGAATAAAATTGTTCTTCCTGCCGTCCATAACGCGTTGTTACAATCTAAACATCTAGAAACTATTCAAATGAACTTTCTTCTCCCCGGACACACGGAGATGACTGTAGACAGCATCCACTCGACTATTGAGCAGTCCGTGCGAAATACGATAGTGTGGGCTCCTTCTCAGTGGGTAACAGTGTGCCAGCTAGCCCGAAAAGAGCCAGCGCCTTATTATGTCGAAAACCTTACACATACTGACTTTAAAAATTTTGAAGAGTTCTCTGATAAATATTTCAAAGGAAACCTGGTTGGAAAAATAAGCAAAATCCGAACGGCAACATTTAAAAAATCTAATCCAAACGAAATTAAAATTAAGTATACTATGAAGAATGATGCACTGGAAGAAAAGATACCAATACATGCTAAACCTAAGAGTCTCAATCTCAAATATAAAACTTCGTTAGCAATTACCAAATCTAAATACAACGATCTTAAAAAACTATGTGACACTAACGTTATTCCAAAAATATTTCATTCTGAGTACTTAAATTTGCAAACTAACAACGCTAAAGATCAACTAGTGGATACCGATATTGAAGATGAGACAGAGGAATTAGATTAGAAAATAATGCTATTATTTTTGTTTTATTTTTCGGCCATATAAAAAATATTTTGATTTCTTAAAAAAAAAGTTTACGTTACCTTCGTTTGATTATACGTATACGTATATAATTAGGTTTAAATTACGTTTGAGTATGATTGATTTACTGTGCTATAATTTCTTTATATAAGGAAACTTACGATCTTATTAAGACTGATTGTTAATTAAGTTAAAGATGCGTAATAAAAAAATTCTAATGAACATAACCTTTTTTTAATTCTGATATAGTAATTATTCACCCATTTCAATACTACAACCTCTTAACTTACTATAAATCTGCCATTATTATCTTGTATCAACGACCAAGTTATATAAACTCCTTTCGAAACCCGAGACATCAAACAACTCATTAAGTATGTTCATCGTTACTTAAGCTAACTTGCCTGTATCGTTCACAAAACCCAACCGGTAGTTAAACAAAATAGCCTATTCCTATTATTACTGAGTAACGTCGATTCAATCATTTTGCTTTCTCCTACATAAGTACCGTAAAGTCACTTAAAGCATTTTGCCTGCTTATGATTAGTGACAGTGTTGGGAGTTAAATCATTTTTCTCTGCTCTAAAAATAAGACGATACAGATCATTTTGTATCAAGCGACATTTATCTTAGAACTCATAACTGTTTTTTTATTAAAAAATATACCAAAACATAAAGGTTTTTTTTTGTAATAAAGATTTGCGGTCCCCATTAAAGTATCTCCAGTAGTTTTTTTATAACGAACTTTTTTCCAAATTTTGAATTTTTAAATGGCTCTCCTGTAAAGTTGGTAAAATGTCGCTTCATACAAATAGTATTTCACCCCTCGAAGAGCTTCTTGAGCTGCTGAAGACATAGCCATATATTCGGCTTCCGCCGTAGACAGGGCCACTGTCTGTTGTTTTCGCGAACACCATGAGACAGCACCTCCCTGTAACATAAAAACATATCCCGTGCACGATTTTCGATCTAGGGCTAGACCTGTGTCGATCGATCATTTGTCGTAACCCGGGTCGATCATGACCCACTCGTATGATGATCGGGTTAAAAAGATTCGATCATTCGGGTCGCAGTTCGTTTATTTATAATAGGTAACCGATTGACGTATGCTGAAATGAAACTAGCTATTAAACGTTAAAACGATATCTATTATAGCTCTTTGAATTCCTCATGAATAAATCTTATTATATAAACCATTCAATAAACAATAAAACTGACTTTATGTCGCAATGGTATGATATGTTTTCACTTTTGATATTTTCTCTCACATAACCTTATAACTTTATTACACAAAATATAAACTTTATAACAAAAATACAGCTTAGAAACTCTTTGTTTACTTAAGTAAACAAAAAGTTTCTAAGGTGTATTTTATTTTAGCCGCGGAGTTTTTCGTTGTTTAGACAACGAAAAAACTTCGCAGCTATTATGGTCGCGTTCGAAAACGTTACTAGAGAGTTTAATTTCTGTGTTGTAGTATTATATTATCTGTGTGTTGTGGTGTAATTATTGCCTGATGCTGTTCGACGTTCGATTTGAAGAAAATCAACTTTAAAGGATAAAAAATAAAATAAAAAGTAATAAAAAAAAGAAAATAAATTTTATTGGTATTGAGCATTCACTCCAAATTGTGGTTCAAAAATAAAATTTGAGAGGCTTTTTTCGGCTTTAACGAGCTTCTTTTATTAGTTATTGTCATTCCGGCCTTTGAAAATATCCTCTCACTGGCACTGATGTTGCCTGCAAACATAATCGACGCTTCATTAAAATGTATAAATGTGGATAAAGGAGACGACGCTCATTCCACCACTTTAGCGGATCATCCGTTCTTTTTATAAGTGGTGCGTTTATATATTTGTCTAGTTCCACTATGCTTGCAGCTGTAGGGTTTTTTATTATCTCATTTTCCACTTCTTTATCAAATGACGCCCAGATGTTGTCAGAAGTAGAAGGTTGCGGCGGCAGGCTATCTTGAACTAGTAAAGGTGTCGCATCTTCTCGCGCACACAACCCACGAAGTTTTCCTTTGATAGATTTCATGCAGTTATCATATTTTACTTTGTTAGTAAATGCATGCTTTTTAAAGCGGGGGTCGAGAAATGATGCTTCTGCAGCCAAAACGTTACCCTCTACATCAACAAAGCGATCGTTAAGCTGTTTATGAAGAGTTCGAAGTAATTGATCATATTCGTCAGGTTGTGCAGAAGGAGCATTTTCGGCAATGCAATTTTCGACATGTGTTTTCATAATTTTTACCAGCACCAACACTTTCGACATAGAGACCGACTTTTCAGCGCTCATTTCTTCCGTCACATCATAAAATATTTTTAAAACTTTAACCCATTTTTCTATGAGCAGCCAATCATCCGTCGTCAAGGTATTAAGACGGGGTTGTTCGATAGCTAGCGTACTTATGACAGCATCTTTAATTTTAAGTAATCTTTGAAGCATGTCATACGTGGAATTCCACCTAGTTACAACGCTCTGTTTGAGTTTCAGCGGAGGTAATTCCATTTGGTTTTGCATAGCCGTCAGTTTGCTCTCAGCTGATGAGCTATGTTTGAAATATTGTACAATTGCTTTAACCCGATCTAACTGTGTTTTAGGCCTATTCTCTCTAAGAGCGTAATTGGCTGTCCCGACCATTTTTTTTAAAAAGTAAGTGAATTATGAAAATAGGATTCAGTCCTAATTAAACTTTAACCTCGAAGCTTTACAGGCCCTTTGTTTTCATAACCATGACTATTTTAATTTTTTTTCTAGACGCTATAGTAGCCGTAAAAAGACAGTCCTCTGGGTGTCCCCAGTACTGTTTTTCTGATAAGAATTAAGATTTACGAAGAATTTATTGAAACTATATACGTTTGGCAGTCAATACCATTAAGAAAAATAAGCAAATGTACTCTTTTCGTAAAACAAGTTTCAAATACTAATTTAATCTATTTAGTAAATTCTTTCAAACTTTGTCCCTAGAATTTTCAAACAGTCCTCTGCTAAAAATTTAAGTCCATGAAAAAATAAAACTATAATATTTACTATCATTTTTATGAGTGAAACGGAACGCAATTGCCATGAAGTTGGCAACAATGCTGCATGCGCGGTTAAGACGCCATTTTGTTTAGTCACAGATCGACATTTGTGAGGTGACACGCGCATGGATCGCTACCCGAGACAGTCCTGTGGTAAGTTGTAATTTACATGTTAATTACTTTAATAATATATAATATAAAGTCGATTGTTTTATTATGTTTGTCCTAATCGATTGGTAAATTCATAATAAACTAATAAATCTATTATTTGTTAATATTGTGAAATCTAACCTAAAAAGACAGTCCTCTGGCAACAGTCCTCTGCCTAAAATTGGAGCAGAGGACTGTTTTATATGGCAGTGGACTGTCTTTTTTGCGTGTTGGGTATTGTTTTTAAGTATTGTTAGGGTAATTTTATATGTGAAGCCTTGACTCTAATGATTAACTAAAATTTTTGTACACAGGATAATCAAACGCGTGTGATATGCCACCTAAAAAGAAAAAACTATCCCGTGAGGAACAACTACAGAAAAAGAGAGAAGCAGAGCGATTACGATACCAAAGAAAGAAAAATGATCCTCAGAAGAGAGAAGAAATGAGAGAAAAGGAGAGGAAATACTACCATAAGAAGAAAGAAAAGGGCACACGTAAATTAGTCAAGGATATGACACCTCGTGAGCACAGAGCTGCTTTGAAGACGTGGAAAGAACATTGCACCACATACCGATCCAAAAGACAAAGACTAAAAAGCATCACAAACAGTTTCGTACGAGACAATTCGCCGTTATCAGACCCAGGAGTAGATATGCCGCCTTCAAGACCCGCCAGTCCAGTTCCTGTTCAAATATGTCTAGCTCGAAGCCCAGCAGTTTCCAGTCCTAGTCTTCAGCAAAGAAAAAAAGAAGGCAAAATGCGACGAAAGAAGTTTAACAAAATGAAAAATGAAAAGATCGCACGCTTAGAGAGAAGAATTGAGAAGTACAAGAAAAGATTAGCGCGATATGAAAGAAAAAACAAGAAGCACGTTGAAGATACGCCTAGAACAAAAGTGTTAAAAATGTTAAATGAGCCTGATCAAAGAAAAGAGGTTGTCAAGAAAGCGTTGTTTGGTGACGTCATTAGTAAGCAGTTAAAAGAGAATTATTGTAATTTAAAACGTAAAAAAGAGAGACAGATCTTTAAAAAAGTTGTTAGTGGTAGGGTTCTTCAAAAGTATAGACACTGGATACCTAAGGAAATGAAGGCGTTATCGAGACCGGGAAAAAAATCTAATCTCATTGGCTTAGAAGTACCTGCGGCAAAACGTCGTAAAATACCTGATTCTTATAAAACTGCTGTTAAGAATTTCTTCGAAGATGATAGTAATAGTCGAATGGCAGCTGGTAAAAAGGAATTTATAACTAAAAAATCTGTGAGGAAACAAAAGAGGTATCTTCTTGACACTTTGTTAAATCTATACAAAAAGTTTATAACCGAGAATGTTAGAATAAGCTACCAAACATTTTGCCGACTTCGTCCATTCGGTGTTGTAAAACCAGACGCTCGAAACCGCGATACATGTCTTTGTATAATTCATAACAACATTGACATGAAGCTCAGCGCACTTTATAACCCTTAAATTGGCAGTCTCTCAATAAAACGTTTTTTTTTTACATTTTTTTAAATTATATTTCTTATTTGAGGTAAATTAAGAAAACGCATATGAAATTTAAACAAATATATTATATTAACTATGTTGTTTTCAATGTCACTTGTGTGTGACATTGCCAGCCATCCTATAAACATTGATCACATTGTATGTGTCACATGAAACGGACATAACCAGGTTTACATGTTAACAAAAAAACTTAAACTAAATTAACTCGTCGAGTACCGTCATTATAGACACAATTATAGAACAATAGGTTGCGGTCACCGGTGACCGCTTGGTGTTTGACAGTTTAACAATGTTTT